AACTTTGTTGGGAAAATTGATGGGGGAAGATGGAAAACTCCTATTTTCACTTCTGCCCAAATTAATTAATTTGGTCATATGTCAATTTTGGTTACATATTCAACATATATTTTGCACAAATTTTCATGCAAACAAATATCTCTTACATTAGTTCAAATATAAAGCAAGGTGAATTGTAGTTACTAACTTTCCAGAGTGATTATTAATATTTTTTTTCTACTATTCAACTATTTTTGTGTGCATGTTATGCTCATTTGTTCATTTTCAGGAAAATAATTGCGTAAACACAACCCTATCTCAACTCAGCCCTGAACAGAGGCAAGATTTCTCATAACCAAGTGGGAAAAATTGAAAGAGAATTAATATTATGGTATAGAGATGGTGCTGGTACACATATATCTGGTAAATGCAACATATTTAAATATAAAATCTGTGAGAAATTGTTCTTCAGCTTTTCTCAACAAATGACAAAAATGGAAGACCTGCTACAACAGCATGTGTGCATTAGCAGCTAGATATGAACACTATGCTGCAAATAGTTCTTGTAAATGGAGAAACAATTAGCAACATCATTAATTTACCAGAATCACGACATTGTGCATTCCTTCCTTCTTCAGCTGTTGGAGGTATTCTGGCAGACCTGCATAATTCACTTTATCATAGGTAAAGTCCAGGCGACGTTCCATGTAGTCGATATCAAGATGTTGGACATCCTAAATATTTTTAAAGGAAAAATTACATGAGTACTTCATCCAGCTCTGGAGCCCTCAGCACAGGAAAGACATGGACCTGTTGGAGCAGGTCCACAGTATGGCCATAAAAATGATCTGAGCGGTGGAACACCTCTTCTGTGAGGAAAGGCTGAGAGAGTTGGGGTTTCTCAGCCTGGGAAGAGAAGGCTCCAGTGAGACCATATTGCAGCCTTTCAGTATTTAAAGGAAGTCTATATGAAAGTTGGGGACAGACTTTTTAGCAGGGCTGGTAGCCATAGGACAAGGAGTCATGCTTTTAAACTAAAAGAGGGTAGATTCAGACTTGATAGGAAGAAGAAATTTTTTACAGTGAGGGTGGTGAAGCACAAGAACAAGTTGCCCTGAATGGTGGTAGAAGCTCCATCCCTGGAAACGTTCAAGGTCAGGATGGACGGGGCTCTGAGCAACCTGGTCTGGTTAAAGATGTCCCTGCTCACTGCAAGGGGGTTGGACTAGATGACCTTTACCCTTCCAACCCAAACTATTCTATGATTGAAGTATTTGATACAGTAAATCAGAATGTATGCAACTGCATTTGTAAAAGGTAACTAATGTATGAAATGAAACCTAAGAGGTTGGCTATAATAATTGTAAATATTTGTCAGACCAAATTCAGCTCCTATGATTTTACATGGTAGCAATGGACAAAATGGAAATTTAGAAGTCCTAGATTAGCAACTGTTTGGCAGAGATATGCATCAGAAGTACCTTTTTTTAAAAAAAAAAAAATGCTAACACCTCATACTGCATAACAGTAAATCCACACAGAATCACCTGCTATGCAATCAAGAGCAGCACTTAGACCTCATGTTTAAAACCTGCTTTAAATGCTCTTTTAAGTAGTATGAAGATATGACGTGCAAAACCACTACATAAAATTATGATCATCCTTTTATTCTACAATTCTCTTTGTAGGATTATGGTTTTTTCCTCTATTATAATTTTCTTCATATCACTTTGGATTGTAAAATTATCATACATAGTGAAAAATTCATACTTACATATGGGATATCATAGTAGTGCATGCGATCAACAGTTTTCTTTAAAACATCAATGCTGCCATAACCCCATCGGGAGAGATGAAATCCCAGAGACCAGTAGGCAGGCATGTGTGGGCGTCCAATGGCCTATGGCAGGAATGAGGAATACAGAAATGCAGTGGGTGAGATGAAGAGAATTTATTCTGAAACATCAGGAGGGGCTCCCAGCTCATTTAAGCCACAAAGATCTGGGCACAGGTATCACACACCCACAAAGTACCCTTTCCTGTCTCAGAATGGCTCACTGTACAGTATGCTTGGCTTCAAAAAAGCACTTCTTCTGATGGACCCTTGTCCTTAGCAGAGGCTCTGAGTGACACCCACACTGAGCATCCCTTCTAAGAACGCCCCAGTGGAAGACCAGGTGTATAAAACCCAGCTTGAAGTTAAATAGGGATCTCACTGAGGGAGCCTCTGCACAGTAGCACGTGCTAGTGGAAACACAGTGTGGAGCCTCGCACCAAGTCCACAAACCCTTTGGTCAACAGCAGGCAAATCTCTAATACTACACAGCAATGTCAGCTTTGCTAATTTCTCTTGCCGCCTCCAGCTGAACTAACTCATCCAGAGTCTAATGTTTGTTTGAGCTCTCTGAAGTTTTAATTATATTTACACACCACCCTGGTGAAATTCAGTCACTTATGACTGACTGCTCTTATTGCTGGCCCACAGCATTGTGTTGCCAGGCATTGACAAACCCCTTCACGGTTCGAGTTACTGTTTGGTCCCAAAATTCTCAACTGAAACATGAGGTAATGAGTTAAATATGATTTTATAAATATTTCCAGTGGCTGCACGTAATCCAGCTGTAAACTGCATGAGGAAACTCAATTGAGAGCACAGGAGAGCTCAGCATCCTGCTCTGCTTCCCCCAGTGAAAGCTGCTCTGGCAACCTGGGACAAGCAGTGAGCTACCATGATGTGTCTGTTCTAGAAATAAGCTGAAATCTGGCATTGCTTCATTAGTACACATGGGTGTTTTCTGAGAGACATCTCTTGAAATCCTTACTCCAGTTTTAAACAGTTAGATCCCATGAAATCAACCTTGGTTCAGTATTTCCAACACCCTTGCAGGCAATACATGAAAATCAAGTAGCTAGTAAGCATCCGTGACTTACTAATCAGCTGCAGATATTGACTCCCTTTGGCTAAATAACTGTTCCTCCTTTATTTCCTTGTGGATCTCCAGTTAGGTAATTATGCTAAGAAGTGAAAAAGAACAAAACTTGCATATTGGCAGCTAAATCCCATCTACTTTAATTAAATAAAACAAGGCACTCCTGGCACTCTGTGTCTATTGCATTGCTAAGCTTTCTAGAGATCGCAATGCATAAAGGCACAGTTTCCTATGGGATTTTCTCCAGTAAGAGTCTGACCCGGAAAAGTAATGCTGAACTTGAAATTGCCCTAAAATACGTTACAGATGCTAGAGCTGGTGGGACTTGCAAACTGCACTGGACAGAAAAACAGATGCAGGAGAGAAGCAGGGAAAAGCAGAGGATGTTTTAATGCACCTGAGCTGGGGGAACACACAGTAAATTGCTTCCAAACAGGCAAGGCTTGTGGACAGACAGGCGAACTTCAAGCACTAAGCATTACAAATTTGGCTACAAAGGGTGCTCTTGTTTGTTAGGATGCTGCTGTCTCACCTAAGTAAAATCAGAAGGAGGCCAGAACAACTGGTAAGGTTACTAGTTTGAGTCCCTCCAGGAGGGATGCTCTGGCTGAGCAGCACAGCTGCCCCGTACACTTACTACTCATCCTGTTCCACCAGACTTAACTCTTTTCACTCTTGTCAACAACTACTCCACCTCCAACTTAGCTGGAGGCTAAGCCCTTCAGAGGAAGGAAGAGCAGCTATCGGCAGCATGCTCCTGACACAGCTGCATTCAGCCTTCCCTGTGTGCCACTGTGTCCTTTACGGGAGAGGCCCTGGACAGAAAATGTGGCCCCTACCGTGTAGTGGGAGGCTTGTGGGCAGAGAAACACCATCGCCACCACAGTGCAGTCTCATATGGTTACCTGAGTCATTAGTTATTTCCAGCTTGTGTGGATACACCTGATCCCTCAGATCATCTTTCAAGCTCTGTTGGGGTTTCCTGTGGAGAGCTGGATGGGGCACAATGGCTCAGGATGATCTTCTAGACCGGCACCAAGTTGTCTAGTAGAGCATGGCAAGCCTCAGGGCAAGAAGTCTGCTTCTCTGTCATAACCATACACACCTTATTAAGGATAAATTAATCTGAGAAGGCAGAAGAGCTTGTTTTAGACCAGCCAAGACTGCAAGGTGAGCTCTGTGAACCCCACCACTTTGTGCTCCTAAAGCAGATGCACAATTTGCCCTTGCTTTCTCTACTGTAAACAGAGAGTAACCTCTACAAACAAGGTTAAAAAAACAGAACAAACAAAAAAAAGTCCCTAATGAAATAAAATGTTTTGTGCACAGGCTTCTCTCCTCGGACAAGAGGAAGAGGGAAAACCAGCTGATAAATATTAATCCTGCAGCTGAACGCAGAGACCAGTGCCCTGGCAGGATGTCTGCACAGCATCTGCTGCCTCTCCTCAAGCAGTCTGAGAAACGAGAACTGCTGTGGGGGTGACCAGCCTGGGCAGAGGCAGTGGGAACTGCTGGGCAGCCCTGCACTGGGTCCTGGAATACCCCAGGTTGCTCCTGGCTGGGGAGGACAGTCAGCCCGTGACACTGCTAATACAACACAGTTCATAGAATGGTTTGGGTTGGAAGGGACCTTAAAGATCATCCAGTTCCAACCCCCCTGCCATCAGTAGGGGCACCCCCCACTAGACCAGGTTGCTCAAAGCCTCATCCAACCTGGCCTTGAATAATTCCAGGGAGGGGGCAACCACAGCTTCTCTGGGCACCCTATCGAGCACCCAGGAGGATGCCAACAGAGCTGGAGGTGGAGATGTGGCCACTGGCCTACTGGCCATCATCCTTCCCAAAGGGCATGTCCTCAGCACTGGGGTTTGCTGAGGTTCAGCTGCTCACCCTTGCGTGATGGTGCTGTCTCGCCTGCGGACAACAGAGCTGCCCCACAGCAAGGCAGTATTTCATGACAGTATCCCTTGAGGAGTTTGGCATTACAGCTGAACCAACTGAAGAAAATCCACCTTGCAAGCAAGATATTAAGTTTTAAAGCAATTATTTCCCCAGGTTCACCAGGCTGGCGCATCTATGGTGAGCTTAATTGAAATCAGCAGAACATTTGAAGAGGAAGGATGAAAACAGGGCAGCTGGGAAAACAAATGTTCTTTTTTCTAATTATGCTGCGGACTCTCTCTAATGGATCCCCCTGAAGCTTCCTGATAAAGTAACTGACATATGGTACTTACTTGCAGATGGATCAGCAGAGGCAGGGATGTAATTTTGCAAACCTGAAAACTCATGTTGGATTTGATATATATTTAGGATCTAGTTAATTCATATAGATTGCATTCTGCATACAAATGACCATAAAATGGAGTAGGCGGAGAAAGCCTGCTTGGCAAAATTGACTCCCATAGAATCAGAAAAGGTAAATGATGTATGGCAGGAGGACTGAGGGAGGAAAACATGAGAAATGCAGAAACAGCAAACATATGGGGTATGCAAACTGAGAAAAAAAAAGGGAGGGGGTGCGGGGGGAAGAGACAGTAGTGCAGAAGCAGAAAAAAAAAAACCAGATCCTATTTTCTGCTCCACAATTCCTCCTGCACTTGGTTCTTAAATAACTCCTGGTGTTGTTTAATAAATTCACTGTTAGTTTTTCCAGATTTACATAACTTGGCATTATGTAATTTTTTTTCACTTTTTTTCAGATGCACCTGAGAGCTGATGAATCTAGGAGGTATCTGGAAGTGTTTTGCAGTAAGAACCAAGTTCAGTGAAAACATGTATATCTAACAGCTAAAATCTGTGCTCAGGGAGCAGGTGATCTGTATTCAATTTCCCTGTGTTGGATTATTGGACAAATAACATTGTTATCATGAGCATCAAAAATATCAACTAAATTATAAATGCTATATAGTAAATCAGGATCCTATTCTATCAATGCTGTGACCAAAGACGTTGATGTGAGAGAGCCAGTGGAAGAGTTACACACTATATATCATAGAGGCCACCGAGAGAGAGACTGTTTCCCGTGCTTACAAAGGAGCTGAGATCTCTAGCAATGCAGCTATATGAAAGCAATGCAGCTCAACATGAAAGACTGCTAATCTTGCACCCTAATTAGTCATATAAAATGAATCTTGAAGCTTGATATTTGCTTAAACTTCCTTTCTTTAAGGAAGAGCTGTAGGAGGAAACTATAAAAATCCAAGTGGAATAATGCTCTGTATATAGACACAGAAATAGTGTGTTTGGATAGTCACACAATGGCTAAATTACACAGGTGGCCCAGGTATCTGTATCCAGCTCATCGCCTATGGCTGCGGCAGGCAGGTGAGTGCTGTGGCACCTCGTCAGGCAAGGGGTAACCTGCACTCAAAGTCTGTGCACAGAAGCTGAACTTTGTATTAGGAGAACCAGAAGACAGGCCCTTCAACTGCTGAATCATTAAGAAGTTGATCACAGTCTCAGGAATCTAAAAATGTTATTTGACTTTCAATGCCAAGGTCTTCAAAACTTTTTCTTTGCTGCACAAACATTTATCATCTGCTTGGTCTTTCTTGGAGGACCCATGAATTCAACTGTGAGACTCTCACTGAATCATCTGTGATGAAATGCAGGTACAAGCAGGTTCCTCATGTTACATCTCAAATAGAAGGCTGAGCTGGAGACTGCCTGAGGTCCCTTCCACTCAGAACTATCCTACAGTTCTGTAAGGAGGAAGAAAACCAGCAATTTGCTCTCAAAATAGAATTAAGAGACATGCAGTATACTCTCTCAAAGCTTGTCATCAGACAATATGTGATAAAACAACAAATTCATGGCCTTCACTCCACCCAACAGCTGTTAAATGTCCATTTGTTGAGTATAGGTGTCCTTGTTACGGAGCTCATATGCTACTGCTACGCGCTGTTACTCTGTCCTGCCAGGCCACCAGTGGACTTGGCAGTGGTGGTCTGGTATGAGGTCTGGCTGTAGAGCCTCAGCTAGGCTCACGCAGCTCAAAGGCTGAGCTCTTTAGCTTACTACTGCTTTTCCCATCCTCCCACAAACGCAGGTGTTTGCCATAAGAAGCGAGGTCTGTGTTATATAACTGTTCTGCACACTGGACCTCTTCGGTAGCAGAAGAAAAGTGTGATTACTGTCAAATATATACATAGCTGTGGCAGGACAGTCTCTGATGTGCCAGGAGCAGCACTCCTCATGGCTGGGCTCAGGGACAAGAGGGAAAAGAAGAATCGGAATGGAGATGTCTCCTTCCCATCACATGATGCCCAGCACATTTCCTATTGCTGCCACCACTGCTGTAGCACGGTGGTGCCACTGGCAGGATGCATCCCACAGCCCAGCTCTGCTCCACACAAGACACAGCAGAGGGGACAGGGGCACCAGCATTCAGCTCTGTGCTTCCTCCCCAGTCCCTGCTTTGCCCTTGGAGCCCATTTAAAGTAGATTAGCCTGGCCCAGTCTGGCACCTGGGGCCACCACAGCTTTCACTGCCACCTCTCCTCACCCCAAGGATGCACAGAGATGCTGGTGGTCCCATCAGGGCTGTCCCTCTGGCAGGGCAGCCGCAGTCATCCCTGATCACCACAAAAGGAGCCCCGCTCCTGGCACAGCCCAGCAGCCCCAACCAATTACTCAGCACTGGCTCTGGGCAAGAGTCCCTGGGCCATCCCTGGATGCTGGTAGCAACCTCACCTTGCAAGGGGGAAGCTCACATACTCCAGAGACACAGTAGAGAGCTCTCTTACAAAGCTGTCCTAACTCACTGCTTTGAAGGAAGCTGCATAAAAAAACTGAGCAGAGCTAAGTTCCTAAATCTTGAGCAGAAACAAGCACAGCAAGTGCCGACAGGGTTGCCAGGTCTGGAAATGGCACTGAAGGCAACAGCGCAAGGTGTTTGAGAAGAATGTAGAGCACTTTGCTCCAGACCCAGCTCCCTCTCTCTCGAGGATGGATCAGCTGGTGCCCAGCCACCCTGCCACACCACTGGGTCCATCCTGGAGAGGATGTGATGGGTGGTCCTTGCAAAAAACCCCATGCAGTGATTTTGCACAGATGTTTGCACAGGCAGGAGGCAGGTGCCATTCCCACAAGGAGCTTGTTGCAGCAGGGCAGACAGGCCCCCACCAGGGTCCCCTGCGGGTGGGAGCTCCCAAAATGCCACTTCCCAGAGGAGACCCACACGAACAGCCAGGAGAGCTGAGGGATGCTGCTGAGCGATGCCTTGCAGACACTGTCCACGTTGCTCCTTTCCACCACCTCCCCTCTCCCAGGGCATGACAATGACCACACGGAAGAGTCCTCTCAATGTGAAAGAAAATACAACTGAAAAATAAAGACTTTTCTGTCTCCTTCACCTTCCCACATATCTAGTACATAAAAGCCAAATCATTACCCTAGAGACTAATAATATGGTAATTGCAACATTTGCCATCCAGGAATTTCAGGATGTTTACTGAAGAAGTTATTAGTTCACTGTGAAATTGCTACCATGCATTCCTGAAGATTCCCTAGAGAGCGAGCTCAAACTCAAAGAATGCAGAGCAGGGGATTTTTTGTCCTGGCATGTGATGTGACTTGTTAGGAGACGCCCACCAGCTCCCCTTTACCTTATTTTCTTCGCTCAAGCTCCATTTCCAGAGAGGCAGGGGTGGAAAGTGAACTGCCAGTACCCATCAGCTGGGGAGTGAGAACTCTCTTATTTTATTTTCAGCTGCTGGCCACCTGCTAAGCCACATAAATGCTGCCTTAAAACACCAGCAAAAGACTTTGAAAAGAAACGGGGATGGCTCTAATCTCCATTGCGCTGCTGCAGCGACCCCTGAAATCGGTGCTTTCATTGCAGGATCACAGCTGCTGTTATCATGGGGAGTCACTTTACTTTTTCTTTCTTCATCTTTTTTGTTTGATTGCCAATGTGTACGTTCAAAAGACAGTTTGCAGGTTGATCTGTGACACTGGGGTTGGAGGTAGCTGGTGGGGAGGATGTGCAGAGGGAGATGGAAACCTCTAAGTGACAGAGCAGTCACTCTTGCGGAGGAGCACTGGCAACCTCCCACGTCTCTGGGAGGCACCACCTGAACCTCTGCTTGGCAAAGGAAGGTCTAGCAGAGCCCACTGCCCTGGGGAGGCTCCAGCCTTCCCAAAATGGCAGCAGGAGTGAAGTGTCTTCTCCCTTCCATCACCAGAACAGAACCCAGCAATACTTTCCTTCTGGGCTAAATCCTCTGTTTCCCTGTGCCAAAACAATGTTTCTGATCCCATTTTAAAATAAGATAAGCATAGGATATGGAAGCTTTAAAAAGCCAGGAAAGACAAAATGTTTGCTGAAAATCAGAGCTCAGGTGCTTGGCAGGACAGCGGAGGGGAAGGCAGAGCACATGCACATCTCACTGAGAGCTCCAGCTGCCCAGTACCTCCAGTTACAGCTTCATCCTCAGGGTCTGCATGCATGAATCCCTCTGCTCACAGTGACATGCCCTTTCTCAGCACTGACATGCCCTTTCTCAGCAGGGACATACCCTTTCTCAGCTTTGTTCCACACTTTTTAGGCCTGGTGCTGGTTTCTTTATGCACAGAGCTTGGTTCTGAGGTGGTAATTTTCTGTGCAAGGGCCCAGTTAAAGCATCACCCAGCATTTGGTGACCAGGAAAAATATGTTACTTGCCATTTTTTTCTGAGCAGCCCTTACTGGATGAAAATTGCATGCACAATCCTGAAGGAGTTATTTGCATGGATACCCTCAGTGCCTTGGAAAACACTGGGCAACAGGAAAATAAGTAATTACACTCTTTGACATAGCATTAAATACGGGTTTTTTCACACCTATGCTTCATACCTATGCTCTCCAATGCACTTACATTGATTTTCATTAGTAAAAAACAGTCTGATGCCCCAAAATCAAAAGGCAACTCCACTGGCAAATAAAGCCTTGAAGTCTTTGAAATTCATTCAACATTTCTGAAGTCCAGCAGACACAAAGTTCCCAAACATTCTCGTCTGTGCTCTTGCCTAGTTTGTTTTTTCCACCCCCAGTGCCAGGACACAGTTACAGTCATGTGGTGAAGACTATAAAAGTATCATGGCCTGCAGAAGAGTAAGCTTGGGCAAATTTCTTTCTAACAATTGCATCTCCTGCTTTTAGTATTGAAATGCTGCAGGAAAGGCTGGAGATGTGCATTGAATGCACAGCCAGTCTGCTACAGTCAGACCGTTTGCAGACACAAGCACACACTACGTTGCCCATGGACCTAAAGCTGTGGCTTTGTACAAACAGATCAGGACTAAGTTTTGGCTGCGCTGCCTGCTGATACTACCAGATACTGATGGGAGTTCGTTACATGGTACAGCCCCGTGTGCCACAGGCACTTTTCTACTAACCTCTGTGTATTGCTGAACTACGTTTTCAGGAGTTGGTCCAAGGAAGACATAGAAGTCAAGAATCCCTCCAATAGTGCGGAAAGTTAAAGATGGATTTGGACTCAGAGAAACTTCTGCAAGGAAAAAAAAAAAAACCAACAGGTTCTCAGTACAAACCAGCTCTGCACTATGCATGAGAATGGTTTGAAGCTGCACCAGGGGAGGTTCAGACTTGACATTAGGAAACATTTTTTTACCAAGAGGGCAGTCAAACACTGGAACAGGCTTCCTAGAGAGGTGGTCAATGCCCCATGCTGTTGGTGTTTAAGAGACATTTGGACAATGTGCTTAATAATATGCTTTAACTTTTGGTCAGCCCTGAAGTGGTCAGGCAGTTGGACTAGATGACTGCTGTAGGTCCCTTCCAAATGAAATATTCTATTCTATTCTATTCTATTCTATTCTATGCTATGCTATGCTATTCTATTCTATTCTATTCTACCCTATCTTAGATGTATGCATGCTAGGCTCTGTGTGCACAAATGTATCCCCAGGCAGAGATGGCTACATGTTCAAGTCACTACCCAATGCCTTGTGGGTACAACTGCATGAGCAAACAGGACCTGTACGTTGGTTAGCAGTTGCCCAGTGTTTCTGCAATCTCTGCTTTCACATTGGCATTGTGCATCAATAAATCACAGAAACCCACACGGAGCAGATTCAACAGATCCATTTGTCTCAGTTTCATTTATATAAAAAGAAACCATAAGCTTGTGTTTAGGGTTCCTCTATGCTATTTTAATCTTCTTTTTGGAACTCATTGCCTGCAAGGGGAAACTGATTTTATAGACTAAATGAAGATTCCCCTTTTCTGAAATTATACCATTGGATTACGAGAGTAAGGTGACCATGGCAACGCACAAAACTATTCTCCACAGACAGAATATAGGAGTAACCTAAATTGATTTGATTCAGTCATGCCAATCCCAGTGGAAATTTCTTCCACCTTCTTCTTTCCCTGCATATGCATCTATTAAAAAAAAAAACAAAAACACCCCCCCCCCCCCAAAAAAAAAAAACAACCAAAACAAACCCCCACATATATTTTAAAGGAAAATACCTTACCTTGTTAAATAGTCATTCTAATGAAAACCCTTTGAAAACTTTACAGTAGTTCCCGGAATCTCAGTTATGGAACAGTCACTCAAATTTGTACCACGTTGAAAAAACAACCACTAAAACAGGTTTTTGTATTTAATAATTTGCCATCTTTCTATATGCAGTCCATATAGGGAATCCATATATCTTTTTACCTTGTGCATTGGAGTTCAGAAGGAGAACACCGTGGGCATTGGAGTCAGCTTCTACGCACATATAGAAAGGGTGAACTCCATAGAGGTTGGCAAATGGCTGAAACACAAACAGCACATTACATGCGGTTTGACTTTGCTATTTTAAATAGTTTTTGTCAGGTAGGCACATATGCAAAGACAAGGAAATAAATTATTTAATAGTTAGAGACTTGTTTTGAAAGGTTGGGGAGTTTTTAATCTAAACTGGTGTGAAGTCAAATTGATAGAAAAGAGCTATTTTTTCTGCCTCATCACAATGATGCTTTTTCTCTTAGTTAAGCCTTCCATATTCTGCAAAACCCTCCAAAATGGCATGGGTAAGAACTGCTCTGCTAATTAAAATAGACTCATCAGCCACTGACCTCAGTTTAGCCAAATGTCTAATGAGTCCTTCTGAAGTCCAGCTTATTTGAATGAACAGGGATTGATCCAAGCATGAAATCAAATGCTTTCCTGAATCAGGATACTGACACACAAAATACTTCTTTCTGAAAACTAACTGCACCTTGAGAAAGCTTCTGATGAAAGGTTTCAAAGTCCCTTCAAAATGGTTCATGGTTTTATCATTTAATTAAAAATTATGACACCTGCAAAACTGGTGACATTTCGTGTTCAGTATTCATTCACATGAGCAGTGCTACCACACAGAGAGAGGTGCTCCCTCGGCAGAGCTGTACCCTCGCCACCTCCTTTTGGTGATACAGGTTAGAACAAAGTGTTGCATGAAGTGAATTACCGTTGTTTTTTAACATGCCATACGTAATGAAGTCCATGCTGTGTTTGAAGGACAGGTGCTCATGTTCACCAAACCCATACACCGAAGTGGATGGCACAGTAGTTGTTATCTGAAGATACTGGTTGGAGAAAAACAGATCAACCAGGGGACTGTCCCACCTGTGACAAATAGATGGACACATGATTAGTTTGCTTATCTTTGGCATGCATCATTTTAAGTGCACGTCTGTCTATTTATACTTTTTCTGTATTTTGGAGAGGAACAATATTAAAAAAAATTAAATTATATGCATGCCTAACATGGTTAACCAAACACACATTAAATTCCTCTTGCAATGGCTGCAGACCTCATCTACTTCTAGAATAAAATGCATCACTATAATTTTGAAAAGTGCAACTAAAATAACAGAAGACTATCTATAATCCTGTTATCAAAATAAGTGGTTGCTTGTGCTATTTCTATGACAACCAATGGGGCAGGCTAAAAATTGTTATTACGCAGTGGGGTTCACAATCCTTAATGAGAACAACAGACATTTAGTTATCAGTTTTTACTTTTTAATGTTTTGCTGGATCAGGACCCGAATACTCGTTACCTCTGGCTTAAAGCAGACACCTAAAGCAGAGGGATAGCTTCCTTCAGACTCTGCTTGAATTAGATGTTTTTAGTGTGATGACTCTCCCGCTTCTCTCGCCAGCTTAATGCCTTTATTTCTATTGAATCATCTGTGGACACAGGCTCACATTTTAATTAGGTGTTACATTCTGTTTCCTATCTCTAGTGCTATAATAAGCTGCAAGCTAGATGGGGTAGAACATAGTCAAGCTGGGGAGAAGTGTTTCATTAATGGCACTGTGTATGCCATGAGTACCACATTTAGATAGCACCCTCTCGAGCCTTGTTTAACCATGAATTTGTTACAGCTAATTAAAATAAATGAGCCAAAGCCAGAGAGCATAGAAGTAGCATAATTCTCCTTTTAATGGTCTTTTGTCAATGATTTTGACAAAATTAAATGGTTGATCAAATTGACCAGTAAATCAGAGAAGTGGAAGATGGGCTGTGTTGGTGGGGAGCAGCACTACCGCTGTGAGGGGAGCTTGCTGGTGAGCCCTGGCTGCCACCTGTGCCACTGGCACCCCTGCCTGGGGACAGTCCCCGCTGCTTGCAGGGCTCTGCCACTCCCACCACACCAACCTCAGGCACCTCTGCTCTCCCCAGGAGGAAGCAAGGATAGCCACTCTTAGGGGTGTCCAGAGGCAGACCTGAGGCACCCTCCTGCCTGCCTCTCTGAGCAAAAATCAGGCACAATCTATCCCTAAAGTGTCCTAGACAAGTCCTAAGTCAAGCCCACATACTGAAGAGTCTATGTATCTTTTTAAAACTCTATTTGACCTTTCTCACAAGCAGGAAAAGTAAGAATTTATATTTAAGTCTTGATTTGGTCGTCTGCCAGCAGCAACTCTCCCTCCCTTTCATCATCTCCTCCACCTACTCATAGTACTGAATAAGGTTATTTTCTTATAAGGAAGGTTAACATATGCAAAATATACCTGAGAATCAGATCCAGCTCTCGGCACACACAGGCCTTTCTGCAAGAGACTGCTGCTGTGTAGGAATGGGAATGGGCTCTGGAGCTACATTCCTGTCCAAAGGAACACTGTCACATAGCTCTGCTCTGTGCCAAGGCAGGCAGTCACTGCTCTGAGCAGACCATGGGGTTATGCAAAAAGCAAAGGATGCCGGAGGGGAAATGCTTTGGGAAGAGCTTAAATATCTGTCCTAACTCATTGAGCACTCTCCATGATATTTGTTTAGAAGACATGAGGCTTTGTACGTTCATGGTACCCGCATTACGACACTGACATTTCCCATCGTGAGAGCAATTAGTGTTACCATGGCACTGAAAGTGCTCCTTTGGCTCAGCAAGCCCTGCCTGCCCAGGAGGGTCACTGGGTGCTGCAGCCACAACCCTAAGAACAACCCCTCTGCCTTACCACGTCTTTACATGGCACAGAGAAACTGGTTTATACCTCATGCATTCCCTTGGGCCACTGTCACTGCATGGCATTGCCAAAACAGTTCCTCCCACTGCACCCCTCCGTCACTCGGCTCCCTGCTCCCAGCAGTGCAGCTCCCCGTACGTGCTGCCAGCCCTCGCTCTCCATCAGCCTCCTCTCTCGTTAGACCTCCGCTTGCCAGAACAGCCATGCACTAAAAATAGCATTAACTGTGACACAAAAGCACTGGTAATGACTCTTTTTTTTTTTTTTTTTTTTTTTTTTTTTTTTGGCCCCCTTTTTCTCCATTGGAAGGAAAGCATGGACAGGTTTTCCTCTGGCACCTCTCTGCCAAATGGGTGCCCTCGTGCTCTGCAGTGCACTGTGGGAAGCTGTTGTGTTACTTTATGTGTCTGTTTGTGTTGTGTTGACAAAGAGCAATCATTTAAATGGAAAACATATATATGTCTGTCATTTCTTAAGCACTTGGAGACAATAAAAAGAAATGTTATATTTCTCCCACCTCCCCTCCTGCTGGTTTAAAGCAGATAGAAGGAACAAAACAGGAGGGAGCATAAAATGAGACCATGTGCACAGGAATTTGCGTGGTTCTCCTCCAACAGTCCTACAAACCATAACAGTGCTGTGATGGACAACAGAAAGGATCTAAAAAAAAAATCTAAAAATACAGCTGAGTAGTTGTTCACTGTCAAAAATTCAACCCTACCAGCAGTTAGACATGGCAAAGCCTGTGAAGACAAGGAATCTTTCTTTGCAGAAGAGGTAATAGCTGCACTCAGGTTCATTGCTGAAAGACCTAATGTCTCTGTGGTGGGAACACTCATTCCCGTGGAAATACAAACTTCCTACAAAGCAGGCCTGGCCCATCACCTGCTAACAGTTGCCTGCTGCCTGTCTGGGAACTCTGACTGATAAAAGGTAGCATTTTCTTCCAAACACCATGCACTATACTCAAGAGGGAACCTCTCTAATTTTTAACCTCATATCAGGAAAACAGAATGATTGAGGATTGAAAAGGTCTGTGAAAATTAACATTTCTGGCCAGCAAATGAACGAGTCTCATATCCAGCAGTCAACCCTCAGGCCACCAGGATGAAACACAACTGCAGTGAAGCGGGGAAATAATATTAAAGGAAGGTGGGTAGGCAGAAAGATAAAAAATCCTGTTCATGTTGAAGGTGTAGTTTATGACTAACATTGTCACAACATTTGAGGGGGATGACTAAAAGGCAAGTTTTCAGAGGTACAATCATCAGTCCTTTGTAACACAAACTGGACATGACAATTTACCTGGTTGAATGACTTCGCTCTGTTGAAGTTTCTTGGAGACCAGTAACACCGGTGTGTGCAGTGGCTCGGAGCACTGACTCACCTGCCCTGAGCAAGCAGCTGGTGGCACTTATAAAGATGGTCTTATTAAACTTCCAGAATTAGGAGACTTTGAACACATACGATATATCATTAGGACATACATCATGCATTAGCTAGACATTCAAAAACCATTTTAGGTTGGAAGAGGGGTTTTTTTCTCTTCTTGTTGCAATGAATTCGGGAGAAATGAGCTCATTACTTTAAGATGTGAACACCCGTCCCACTTGGTCACTTGGAGAAAATGTCCCTCTAACATCTGCTTTCATTGGCCTCCAGACCCTTTGGAAACTGCAGCCTTGGGAAATGGAACACATTGTATATATTATCTGTGTGCAAATTCAGGTGGAAACTTCACATGTCTATCAGAAAAGTGGGTCTAAGCCTCCTGGCAGAGTTTGGGCATACATTTGCAGAGGGCACAGGCTATTGCTATACGCGCAGGCTGCCTGTAAAGCAGCAAAGCACCTTCAGGACTGAGGAGTATAGTCCCTATTTTCATATGAACCTCAAATATACTTGGCCCCTGACGCACTCCACTTGAGCTGCTGGGGAGCATCATCTTAGGATCCCAGGTTTCCATGATTTTCCATTGCTCTCAGGTTGCTGAAAAATGTTTCCACTGTCTCACAACAGCCATATACCTTACTAGCTGTAAGTCTTGGGGCACCACTGAACTGCAGAAGGCACACCAAGAATAAATTTTTATATGCTTATTTTATTTTTAAGGTCATTTATCAAATAGGTGGAGAAAGTCAGCACGAGTAACCAACATATTTTCCACAAATGTGACATTTTAAAAGAAAGAATTTCAGGGTATATTCACAGTTATTGACACAGTTCTGCTCTACTTCTACTGTGTTCATCATCATGCTATCAGGGCATCTCCTATAAGTGGCTGGATATATAATGCTTCATTTTTGTTCTGAAACACACTTGGACAAGTGATATACCTACAATACTTCTCGCCTATGTAACATAAAACATAACGATGAGAAGACTAAAATAATGGCCTTTACAAACTAGGAGGAAACTCAAGCTGCCCATGATGCACACAATTTGCTCCTGTTGCTTTCAGCAAAATTGCAGTTTAAGACAATAGCGTTATAAATCATTCTAATAGCCTTGCCTATGTAAAAACGTCTTCACAGTAAGTGGTGTCTGTGCTTACTACCACAATCAATAAAGAAGGCAGCTGAACTCTGCAGCAGCCTTTTTGGAAATTAGGGGAAATCTTGATTAGATTTCAGTTATTTGTGCCGTATCTTCCCAAGTGTGGTAGCAAACAAGGTATTCCAAACTCTTAATAGAGAGAAAGGAGCACTTATCTGGCTTGGGAAAAACGTTCTGCCTTCCATTATTTGTATCATATCATGAAGGAAAAGTCAGTTGGAGAATAGATATTAAAGTGGAGAATCAAATCAATACTCCATCCCTCTGCAGCCTGTCTCCAGCCATGGCCCAGGCCAGATATCGCAGAGGAAGGCGTAAGATGTCACTCACAGCCAGTCTTGCAATAATCTGTTTATGGAGGAAGTTTCTGGCTGTTTCATAGAATTAGCTTATGTTGTGAAACATGGAGACAAAAATAGTTGGGTTTCTTTTTTCAACAGATGATTTCTTTATTATTATGTGTGAATGTATATCCTGCTAAGCCTCGTGTCAGTTCTGCCCTGGGGCCATGTGTCCCACAGAGTAATCACACACTGCAAAATGAGGATGTCTTTGTTATTTATTGCTGCCTTAAAGCAAACAGTTCCCCGCCTTTTACTCTCTGTTCTTAAGGAAATGTATGCTTTTTGGAAGCCTTCATGCTCGCACTGGATACTACCCTCCTAGACCTCCTCCAGTGGTTGCTGCTGTTAGTAGCAGGAGCAGAAAGGAGAATAGTGCTCAACCTGAGAGCACGTGCCACTAAATAACACAGAGGCTCTGTTTTGTTCCCTCGCTTGCCTGATTTCAACCCAATTATTTTCTCTCCTGTTTTCATCACTGTAGGGCCCTGGACAACAGTGGGCCAGTTTTCCACTAGAGCTGCAAGATCAGCTACGATAGCATGAGCGAGGATTTATTAAACTAAAGCCAATTACAAATTTATTGACAAAATGTTTTGCTACTGATCACCCTAATTTGCCAAAACAGGTGTTTTCCCAGCATCATGGGAGTGGTGAGAGGTTCCCCACAGCCCCCGCTGCCCCATGAGGCCAGTAGTTTGGGATCTTCACCTCTGGGGCTGGAGAGCCAGGCCTCAGTCCCTGTACCTCATGGTTCAGATCTAAGACTTGGAGCCTTAAATCAGCCACAGGTTTCTGTCTTTCCCTGGCAAAACAGAAAACACCTGACATATGTATAGGAGTGGGGGCTCTGCCTGCCTCTGGGTCCCATGTGACCTTGTTGGCACCTCACCAGTGAACACACAGAGGTGGCACTTCTTCACCTTCATGGCTTTGGAGAACTGCCGGCACAGGGAAGGACCTTCCCTGGCCATCAATGAAACAGCAAGAATGTGGAAGAGGGTGAAGAGTAGCAGGAGCAGGCAGGACTGAATGGGACAGAAAAAAGGATAGCAGAGGAGGAAAAGGAGAAAGGTAAGAGAGAGTAAGCCAAGAAGCATTACTGGGAGGAGAAAGGGAGGCAGCCCAAGAGCTCCTGGTCCTGGAAGCCCCCCAAGCAGCACCTGGATCATTTCCCTGCATGATCCCATCTAATTTTCGCCCCATGCAGGCAAAGCAGCGGCTGTCGCCTGATTGCCTTGGAGCAAGCTAAAAATGTAGTGAGACTTGGCCTTTTATTCTTGCTCCTGGCTCTGCATGAGGTTTGCAATCAGCTGTTAATGCCTCTCCCCTCACAAAACTCATTCCTCTCCCCCGTTACTGTGATTACACAGAGCCCTGAGTTTGTCCTGCCCTCCTTGAGCTGGTGCCTGGGCAGCTCAGCCATGGCAAAGGCTTCTTGTATGCAGCAAGTGGGAGAAATGCCTTTAAAGCACATCCAGGAATACTTCAAAGTCTCCACTGCCTCTCCCCTGCAACCACCCCAACATGGTATTAAATTGTTCTGCGGGAGGAGGCGGCTTTGTGCGCACAAGTGGCAGAGCTGGGATGGGGTTTTATATCAAGCAGGTAGATGGTTCCTGCCACCAGCTACCCCACCACTGCAAAGTCTGTGGCACAAAGACACTGAGGGCAGGACAGACTGCACTGAGGGAAGGAGGGGAAAGAAATATAGACATGGACTTTGAAAGAGCAACCCACATTTCTGCTCAGGGCAGGCTGCTCCTTCCCCACATGAACTGTAAGCTGTCCCACAGCATGCTGGGGATGGTGAGGGATTTTAGGCTTTTTTTGGGGGGTGGGTCATCCAGCAGTACAAAGCTGCTGGTGAGGGATAAGGAGCATAACATAAAACAGATTTCTGAGAATTTGGGATTTCTTTAAAATGGAAAAGCCATCCTCAGAGACATTAGAAAGGTCCAGCAGAGCACCTGGACCTGGCTTGGTATAGACATGAGTTATTATCAACCCACACCTGGGGAGTGCAACTGCAGCACCTGTTGAAGAGGTATTATTTGCCTACATCAATAGTTTTGAACAATATTTGTGTGCATATGAAGATTAATGATTGATTCAGCTGTTCATTGAGACAGCAAGGCCATGGCCATTCACTTCTTAAAATAGGAGGCTGAAGTCCCTCCAGGTGTTGGGTGCTTGCCTGTTTCTCAGGGACACTTGCCTACTCAGCCTGGCATGGCCACAGAGGCCACTGGCCGTACAGCTCAGTGCCTGGCCCCAGGTGTGCTGAGTGCCCTAGAGCAGCAGCTCCCACTGCTGGAGAGAACCCAAAGGAAAAGATTTGGGGTTTAGCAGAGTGCACCTGGGACAGGAACAGGGGACAAGGCAATGCTGAAGATGCTCTTTTTTCTGAGCCCTTGCTGCAGCCGTGAGGCTCACTCAGACCCATTTCCCACATGTCTAAATCTGCCTTTGGGCAGGTTGAACTAACACGAAAATCTACTTAACATGCCAGATGCCACTGGTGCTCACCCAGGCCTAGCCAGCCACTTACAGTCACTGGTGGAGATGCTCCTGTAACGCTGCTTGCTGAGGGTTCCTCCTCCTCAGTCAAGCAAATGCAGCCACCCATGGCTTTTAGGCCAGGATGTATAACCTGCTTTTCTGTTTTGAAAGAAGATTTCCATCTGCACAGCTCTCTGGTGGCTAAACAGGCTGCAAATCCCTCTAAGTCACGCTGTGGAGGAATCTCTGAGCATCTGCATTCTCTCACTCTGATGGGAGAGACAGGCAAACAAATGAAAGGGAAACATTTTTCCTCCTCACACAGGGAATTTAACTCCAAATATGATTCAGCTGTGAGAGGAACAGCTCCCTGCTGGGATGTGATCCTTCAGTCTATAAGCACTGGCTGTGCCCTTTCACATGAAACAAAAATTCCCAGGAACATATAATTTCTCTTTTTAATGCAAAATCCTGTGTCTCTGCTTAAGAGAATCTTTTAGTAGCAGCCCTACCGTGTTTTGCAGGATAAAAACCCATTAACTGCGCATTCTATTCACCCGCGATTTCCTCTTTTTGGGGTCGGTTGGGTTTCAGAACTCCTTTACCTGCCTGGAGGCAGCACAGGCTTTTCCAGCAGCGATGCTGATAGCCCGGCATTGCTGCTGAGCGCAGCGCCGATGCTACTAACCAAGGCTGCCCTCTGCCTCCCCGGGCTCTGCAGCACATCACTGCTGCACCCCAGGCCTGCACCACTGCTAAGCACGGATTTTGGGGTGCCCCACTGACAGGGGTACAGAGGAGGTTTCCTCAGGTCCACGGCAGGCTGGTGAATGTGCCCTCCTGGAAAACTGCTCAGTAGAGACCAACTTTGTGCTCCTCTGCCTGTCGCTGGAATTGTGCCCTTGGCAGCTCAGTGGATCAAGCCCTGTGTCTGCTTCACAGCAGGTCCCTTCCCCTAATTGGGGCATCCCAAGTTTGAGGATGCCCTTACTAACCAAGGCTAAGCTCTTGGGGTTTGGATGAAGACAAGGAGGGGTGAATGGGAATGGGCCATGAGCTAGCTGCTCGCCATGTCTTGTTATGCATTCACCTCTTACATCACCATTCCAATTAATGAGCTTTTACAAGAATCTCTTATTACAAGGAGAAGAAAATTGGGCCTTTAACATAAGCCCTCTGTTTTCACAAAGCTGTTAAGTCTAACAAGGATTTAAATTATTTTTGTTATCAGAGTAATGCATAATACAGGCATTTACAATAGCCTGCAAAAAGAAAACTTTACAGAATTGACTGTGACGAGTATAAAAAGAGATGCCACAAGATTGCAATTTAAAAGGATGGGCACCTAATTAAAAAAGCAGTGCAGTGGTTCCCTCTGCAGACTCAAACCATTCTAAAGGCTGTATTGTCTTACTTGCATCACACATGTTAAACCATCCTTATGTTGCTCGCAAATATAATGCTTATATTTTGAGTCTGTTTAACAAAGAGTTTCTTGAGGTGGAGGGGAAATCTGAGCTGATTTAGTTTCTTGATTTGAGGTTAGATATTTTTAATGCATAAAATGAACCACTTGCATCCCAATGACTTTCTGGGAATGTGTTTGCACTAGTGGTGGGGTCCAAGGAAGGCAGAGCTGGGGCTGAGGACCCAGCACCCGCACACATGTTGAGGGCTCTCTCTGAAGGAGCCCATTAACAGCCAGACTGCATTGCCTGTGCTCCCAAGGCACATCTCCCAGTAAGGTCACGTGGAAGGGACCTAATCCATGCTCCTCAGAACGACTGCAAGGTCAGCCAACACACAAGGGGTAGGTATAACGAGGAGACTCACGCCAAAAGGTGCTGCTGATCTGAATTAAAATGCTAATATAGACACAACCACAGCCTGATGTGAACAGTACCCATGTTTCTATGTTCTGTGCATCTCCTTCGCCCACCCTGAGTCAAGCAGTGATAACCCAGAGCAGTCTGTAACACTGTCCTTTGTCACCACAGACAGTCAGAGACTGCAGCTCACGCCACGCTCATGACCCCCAAATGCAGTGGGCAGGAGAGCACCTTGATTGGGACTCTTGCTAAGTAGCATTGCACACTAGAGATGTGTTAGCAGAAGCAGATAAAATGGGAAATTATGACACCTGGTGACATTTGCTAGTGAGTGGAGCTATGGCTGAAGTTAAACTTACAGTACCAGCTTAAGAATACAACTAGCATCTTTGCAGAGTGACAAACTAGGCCCACAAATGCCATTCACTGAAATCAGTAGAAGTTAGAGGCTTATGGTTTCTGTGGCTTTGAGCTTTAGTTTCCTAGACCTACCTCTTGGAGGGTGTCAGGAGATTTGGTGCTCAATTTCTGACATATTAAAACACCTCAAATTTCAGAAATCTTAGTTCAGTGCTTTCACGAATAGAGTCTATTAGCGTCCCAAGCTGTGAAATCGTAGCCTCAAGGCACATACTCTTATTAATAATGAGTGTTTTCCAGGGACAAGGCATAAATCTGTATTTATGCCACATCCAGTTTGTGCCTGAACCTTTGTCATGCAGAGCCAAGCAATAGGGTGTGAGGAAACAGCGCTCACCCTGTCACACCTAATTTCTGTGAAAAGTGACATGAATGAGACCTGGTACTCACAGCACAGTGCCAGTGCTTTTCCTCTTGATCCTGAAGTGTGAGGCGTCATCCACAAACTCCACGTCATAGTTGGCCTCATCGGCGGTAACCCCGGGGGAGTCGATCTTGAGTGGGACTTCAAACCGCTCTCTGTTGGGGTCATAGAGCTAAAGCAAGTCAAGGAGGAGACAGGTGAGCTCATGCGTTAGCGTGCGTTGCTTTGGCTAAATGATTCCCCCTGCCCCAGTACTCACCCTGAACCGGAGTCTGTCCCTGGTCTGGAACTCCACTTCCAAGACGACCGGGGAAATGTCATTTCCGAAGAGGGACAAGGCCTGGCGCTTGTTCAGTGTCACCCTGAAGTAGAAACACGTGCTGGTTGGTGCCCACCACCACTGCTCGCTGCCTGCAGCCACACTGGCACAGGCTGGGGGAACAGCTCAGCTATTCTATGTCAGCTCTTTAAAAACAAATCATTGACTTATTGAGAAAAATAATCTCTCAGTTTAGCTTAGGTTCTCCTTGCCATTAATGGATAAAATAGGTAGTACTGAAGCAAGGGGACCTCATGGTCCCCTGGGACGCAGCTCCCCAGGTGGGAGGGACCACCCCGTGCCGGTGTCTGATTTCCTCACCAGCAGCGTGAGCGCAGGACCCCATCCCTGTGTGGCTTGTATGCAGAGAAATACCCCTATTATCCCCTTCGCTGCAAGCTGAGCAGGCGGGAGCGAAGCAGCGTGGGGAAGGTCTCCGGCGAGC